TCAGTTGGTTTTGCCAGCAGCCCCTTGGGATGGCAGAGTGTGCGCAGGGCACCTGGGCCTGAAGTTGCCATCCCTCCAGCCTCAGTCCCCCACACGTGCTGCAGCAGTGCTGGAGCCGTGCATGCACAGAGCTCTGTGCTGGGGACTTGTCCTGAAGCCCTTTGGGGCTATTTTAAGTCAAATGCACCAGTGCGATGATGTTCTTAGCATGAATTACTTTGCAATCAATGCCAAATCAAGTAGGTTATTTTAGCTCTAATTTGAGCTGCTCCCCCTGACCCATGGCCCCCCTTGTTGCAGGTATATTTAGGGATGCAGGTATATTTTGGGCCATACTTTGAAGGACAAAAAGGTCCAAAGTTGCCCTGCAGTGCACACTGGCAGTGACCTAGGGCCACCCCTGCCTGACAAGGCTCCGGCCTGGCCCTGGCCCTCAGTCCTGCGGGAGGAGCACAAACTACGCAGGTTAGGGTTTGCCTTGCATAGGAAACAGGTGGGGGGAAAGGTATACTTTTTCACTTTGAGCCAAGGCTGAACCCATCAGTGATAGTGGCAGTGCCTCTGGGAGAACATGTTTTAGCAGGGGGAAAAAACCTGCGGCACAGCAGCAGCCAGGAGAAAGGAATGAGAACATGTGAGGCACCGAGGTCAGTGCAGGAGAGGGAAGAAGTAGGAAGGTCAGGTGTGAGGTTGAGCCCAGGAAGAAGGGAGGGGTGTGGGAAAGGCAATTTTAGCTTTCTTCTTATTCCTCATCACCCTGCTCTGTTTCCTCAGCAATAAAAAAATCCTCCCAATGTGAGTCTGCTGTGCCCACGCTGGTAACAGGTAACATGGATGCCCCATCCTTGTCCCAGCCCACAGGCCTTCCTTCAGATCTTCTCCCCTTGTCCTCTTGATGGAGCAGGGGGTGTCGCTGAAACCGAAACAACGGTCAGTGCTGGTGTGTGCCAGACTGCAGACTCACTGCCACGACCCTTCTTCCCCCCGAGCAGCGTGTGTCAGTGCCCACAACCACTGTAATGAAAGCACAACCACCACCACTGCATTAAGCCACACAACACTTCTACTAACACCTTACTGGCATCTCATTAACACACAGAATTTGCAATTTATTGCACAGCAAGACTGCAACACAACAAGGAACTAACTCTCCAGAAGGCTGAGCCCTATGGTGCATTGGGAAACAGCTATGAAAGAGAGCAGCTGCAGGCCCAGCACCAACCAGCCCTCCTCAACAGCAGCATCCACAAAGGGTATGGTTTGTAACACTTTCCTTACCAGAGTTTTTGTATTTGTTTTCAATGCTTTAATAAGCCTCCTCATGTTTAAAGGGCATAGGTATTCCCATGAGGCCAACAAGACATGCTCAGGCAGCACAAGGTGCTCAAGTCGTGTGTAGAATCAGGTATAAATTAAAGCTAACTGAATGGGAAGTCACAGCAGTGACTGTCAGAGTTTCATAGTAGCTTTCTGCTTGTTCTGCCTCAACCCATCCATTACACAGGAATGTTAGTAACCAGACATGTCTCTATTTCCATGTCCTTTGGTTCACCTTTCCTATATTTTATGCAAAGCCCTTCAAGACTTATTTCATCAAGGTAAAGTTTACACCCTGAGTTTAGCTACAGAATTTCATTTAATGAAGCCAAAATGTGAGTATGTGGTGTCCCCTGAGGCCACGGAAGCAGGGCCTGACCATAACATTATCAGTCCTGCAGGTGTGAAGGTGGCTCAGTTGACAGAAGCAATTTCCTGTCACATCAGTGTGAACCAAAACGCTGAAGTTTAAACACAGTGCAAGACAGAGCAGTTCATGTGTGAAGTCATGCTCAAGAATATTCCTATTACTACTGATAGAGATTTTATAACCAGTTTATTGAAAACGTATTAGCCTGGATTTTGTCAAAATAATTTGCACAGTATAAGCATCCCACACAGAGGGGAAAAAAGTCACCTGCCTGATGTTTGGAGTGTTTCACAGAAGACAGTTTACTCCACCTGAGTGTGAGACTGGGTAAGTGCATGTTGTAGCCCATCTCCATCAGCTTACTGCTAAGAGGGTACAAAGGAACAAGGCTCTGCTTCTCACCCATTAAGACTCCTTCCCCTGCTAGGAAATCCCAAAAAGCTTGGCTGGTTGCAACAAAGAGCCACTGTACCCCTAAGAACGGAGTGCGAGGACTCTCCAAAAATACCAAAGGCAGTGGTGTGATCAGCCCAAGGAGACAAAGGAACCTGAGGACTGGTGAGCGCTGCTCACATCTGTGCCTGATCAGCAGCTCTGCAGGTAGTTGAGTGGGGGCTTGGTTTCCTGCCTTTCTCCCTCAACAGGGCTTCTGTCACCATCCAGCTGTCCTCCCACAGCCACGGCAGCAGAGACAGCTC